TTACACAAACACTACTAGTAGTTTAGGTCTTCTTTGGAAAGAGTTACTTTTGCATCAAAAGAAGATGCTCAGTCCATATTGCTACGACCAATTTCAACTAGATAAATCGATCATACGAGATGATTATTACGATGTTAACACTTTTAACGATACGAGAAAGCATGTACATTTGAGGTTCAAGAACTGAACAGTATTAGTGGCGAGTTCGAGGTGAGAGATGATAAAGGTAGAAGACACTTGGTTCATCTGGGAGCTAGAACGTGCAGTTGTAAAATGTTTGATGTGGATAGGTACCCTTGCAGTCATGCAATTGCAGCAGCACATACGATCGGAAAAGCCGATATGATATACGAATTATGTTCTGCATACTATTTGCGCGAGACATGGCGTTTGGCTTATCAAGAGACAGTGTATCCAGTTCCTGATTGTAGTGATTGGATCCTTCCACCCGACGTTGCAAATATGACAGTTTTACCGCCCATAGTGGAAAGACAAAAAATTGGAAGGCCTAAGCAAAACCGATTTCCTGGACCTGGCGAGGCTCGAAAGAAGAACGTTCGATAGGTTCAGCCAACATATCATTGTCATAAGATCATGTGGGTGGAATGTATTTCTGATTTTGTATTTGGTATGACTGGTTTGACCAGAGTATGACTGTCTCGACGATTTTGATAAATGAGTTTGATTATGTAGGTGTAATATACATTTAAATTCGTATTTCCGTATTTGTATTTGATATCTCTACTTTGACCATATTATCATATGATTCTGTGGGTTTAATGTACTTTTTTAAACCGATGAATCTCGCAATTTCGAATAGGTCTGACCGTCTGACCATGGTATGACCATCTGACCGTCTGACAGTCTGACCATTCTCTTTTCTAATCGTTTGAATTTAATTTAGGTCCTTTTTTTTGTATCAGAATGGTCAGACTGTCAGACGGTCAGATGGTCATACCATGGTCAGACGGTCAGACCTATTCGAAATTGCGAGATTCATCGGTTTAAAAAAGTACATTAAACCCACAGAATCATATGATAATATGGTCAAAGTAGAGATATCAAATACAAATACGGAAATACGAATTTAAATGTACATTACACCTACATAATCAAACTCATTTATCAAAATCGTCGAGACAGTCATACTCTGGTCAAACCAGTCATACCAAATACAAAATCAGAAATACATTCCACCCACATGATCTTATGACAATGATATGTTGGCTGAACCTATCGAACGTTCTTCTTTCGAGCCTCGCCAGGTCCAGGAAATCGGTTTTGCTTAGGCCTTCCAATTTTTTGTCTTTCCACTATGGGCGGTAAAACTGTCATATTTGCAACGTCGGGTGGAAGGATCCAATCACTACAATCAGGAACTGGATACACTGTCTCTTGATAAGCCAAACGCCATGTCTCGCGCAAATAGTATGCAGAACATAATTCGTATATCATATCGGCTTTTCCGATCGTATGTGCTGCTGCAATTGCATGACTGCAAGGGTACCTATCCACATCAAACATTTTACAACTGCACGTTCTAGCTCCCAGATGAACCAAGTGTCTTCTACCTTTATCATCTCTCACCTCGAACTCGCCACTAATACTGTTCAGTTCTTGAACCTCAAATGTACATGCTTTCTCGTATCGTTCATGTAGTTCTTTGTAAACAAACGGTGTTAACTTTTGCGATTGATCACCACTACCGGCTTCCAATCTGTACCTATTGAACCATTCCACCGTCTTTTCGAGACAAATATCTAGCAGACATAGCAATGGATACTTTTTTGCCTTCTTCAAGACGGAGTTAATCGACTCGGCTCCGTTGGTGGTTAACAAGTTATACCTTTCACTCTTGAATTTACACCTTGCCCATTTTTCGGGAGCAAGTTCTTCCTTTTCCATATATTCAGCCACCTTGTGATATCTAGAAATTATGAGATATATTCACATTAGTTCACAAATAAAAGCAGTAAAACTGGTCAGACCAGATAGAAACTGGTCATACGAGTAACAAAAATCGTACCTTTTCTTCATATCATTGTAAAGCACTTCAAAATCGTTGATCGTGTATGCAGCTGCGCATTTAAAGAACAATTTACTGATAGTCTCACCAGTTGAACTTTTTCTTCTTGCACCTTTGTTACAATGGACTTTTAAGTTTTGTGATATATGTCTCACACAAAATCCATGTTGCGCTTGTTTGTATACTTCTCTCACAGCTTTGATTATACTTTTATGTCGATCAGATAACACAACTATATCGGGACCATCCAATATTACTTCGCTCAATCTTGTCATAAACCATAACCATGAGGCATCTTTCTCTCTATCAATCACACCCCAAGCCAAAGGATATTGGTGATGATCACCATCTTGAGCAGTTGCCACGACTAATGCTCCTTTATATTGACTCGTCAGAAATGTTGCATCAATAGCAATCACTTTACGCATATACTTCCATCCATTTATGGTTGCACCTAGGGCAATGAAGAGGTACTTGAAGCTTTTACGATCATCGTCTAACTGAAGACTCACTCTAGTTCCAGGATTTCTTTCTGTCAACATGTACAACCAACCAGGAAGCCTACTGTAGTGTTCCTCATGACTACCACGAATCTCTTCTTGAGCACTATATTTTCCTCTTAATGCCATCATATACGATACTGTCGCACCGTATTTCACTTTCATCCGTTCTACTATCTGTTTTGGTGTAGGAGTTTCAAGCTTACCAGAAAATTCTTCCTTCAAATAATCTCTAACCAACATCGATGAACCCTTCGTACTTGTTTCGGCTTCGGCTACAGGTCTGCAAGTATGAATGGGATTATGTGACCTTACACTAAAACGTGTGGAATTCGAAATCGCTGCGATACGCAATCTCCAGTTACAACCTGAACCTTGAAACTTGCATCTTAAATCCCATAATTTCTTAGTAGACTTCACTGTCACAAAACCAAAACATGCCTTAACCGCACCCTTCCGTACATATTCTTGTGCTGCTTCCTTGCTTTCAAATTCGTAGCCAATACTAAAATTCAATCCATCACTGAAATTGAATACCGAAATAGAAAACGATGTGTCCTCCGTAACTACCAATGCCAAATTATTCTCGCCATCAACATCATTGCCAAATGATACACAACCATCAACTTTATTGGTTTCACATGCCATATCGATTGCATCATCCCCATCTCTATCTCTTTCACCATCAACATCTCTTAAAACAGTTGCATGTTCTTCATCCATTCCATGTTCTCCTAAAACAATAGTCTGTTCATAATCTGAATCACTTATGATTTGTATAGTATTACTCGCACCTTTACTCTTGAGATCAGGACTCGCAATAATATTGTGTTTATCAACATCTACATAAATCACAGCCCCATGTGGTCTATTTGATGGCCCAACACCACTGGCGAAATCTGGAACAAAACATTCTCCACCATGTTTATGTCCAACTTCAACTTCCCCGCTCAAATTTACTTTTTCAATCTCCACATATAGCATGCTTCTTCCTCCGTTGAATTTGTCCATCAGATAAACAAAGACTTGTTTGTCGCTCGATATGTAAACCGGCTCAACATATCCTTTTATTGTAGGCAAATAACTTAGCTTGATTTTGGATTTATCTTCGTCTATATCCATGTCAGAATATAACTCTTCAACGAGGCGGCTGTAACTCAAATCAATCGGATGACAAGGGAATATCACTCCTTTAGCATCTTTAGCTTTTCCTTCCCATTCATATGCTCCGATCGAATTTACTACCCACTTGCCACCAGATTTATAATAAATAATCGTCATCCTTTCATTAGTTGCATCCATTACACCTGTATAAAATAAACACAAAATGTGATAAAATGATACGCTTGAAAAATGTCACAGGTTTGATGAGTATTACCAGTTTGACCAATTTCACGAGTATGACCAGTTTGACCAATTTTGACAAGTATGACCAGTTAGGAGTATGACTAGTCTGACCATTTCGACATGTATATGTTACCAGTTTCCCGAATTCTCTCATTTTAACGAATTTCACAAATATAATGATTTCGACCAGTTTGAATAACGTGAATCATGGTATTGCTGATATATATGTCATTTTTGCTTCAAACATATTCATATGGATTAAATATCAAAATGATAAAATAATAAATCACAAATGCCCAAACTTAATAACCAAATTTAGAAACAATACTTACCTTTTATTCAGATCTGTGTTGAATCGATGAAATGCCCAAGTTTAATGTTGTTTTTGACATCTTGATTTATAGTCGGAGTGAGAATGACCACGCCTCTTACTTAAGCAGGATTTGACCACTCTTAGGACCGATAGCCTTTATGCCAATCTTAAGAAATGTTCGTTTTGGACAAACGAACTAGTCTTCCTCGGTTTCGTGGTCAGCAAATTTAATAATAAATAAAAAATGAAGGGTATTTTTGGAAGTATATTATTATAAGGTTATCACATGATGTAGTCTTTTTTTTTTTTAAAGTGGAGGTCATCACGTGAAGTAAAAATGACATTTAAAGTCATTTTTGTAAATCCCCCTCTTTGTGGTGGGTCCACTGTATGCACACGTGGGCCGTTATTGCATACAGAGGACAGAATGAAAAAAGGAAGTAATACAGAGGACAATATGAATAAAATGGGAACATTATAGTCAAAGTTGTTTTCAACTTTGAATCATACCCATCCAAAGAATTAGATGGTTCAGTCTACAATTGGCAAATCCGATGTGGCATGTCATCATTGCATACAGAGGACAATGAAAAAAAGGAAGTAATTAGATGAATCAAATCTATCATGAGATTTCCATTTTTTGTAGAGTGGGGAACCTGCCATGCATGTCTTAGGACCGGACACTGGACATCGCAACAGCTCTCATTCCGATGGACCGGCTGGAATGATATCAGACAATACGGACAGTAAAATTCTACTCCCATGCACACGAGTTTGCAACACGTGAGAGATAAATTAGTCGTAAACAGACGACATCTGAGTGGTAAAGAGTCGAACACCAACTTCTCGATATATTGACCATGCTCTCTGCTAACTCATCTGCATTTCACTGAGATTTGCATATTAAAATCAGGTAACTCTATCATTATTATCCAAAATTCCATGCAGTCTTTCCCCTTATGGGTAACTTGATATTCTCGGTCCATATGGCACGACCCACATCCCAATATTTTTTTTAACATTTTTCTCTATTTAATAATGAAAATAGATAATGCATTTCCATATTAAATTAATGTTAAATAAATATATAAAGCTACCCACATTCACATATAGCCTGCAATTATTTCTTGACAGCAGGTTACTGTTGTGTAACAATTCATGATTTTATTGTACACATAAGTTAGAGAACTATATATATATACACACATATTTGTAAGAAAATATTACAAAACGAATCAATGTTGACTTATATCAATAACGAACTACAATTAATTTAAAACAAACCTTTTGAAACCTGTATTAAGGCCATTAAATATATATTCATTGTCTCTTTGACGACCGTAACATTAGCTTCAGCTTAATATATAACAAGTCACAGCTATATATATATATCAATACGCATGCTTTGAGATTCATTTCTTTTACTATATATCTTTTCTAAATGGATGATTATATGTTCAAATGCCCTTTTTGCTACTGAAGATACGGATAGATTCGTAATCAAATGTCGAATGGAATAATCTTTTAGTCGTCAGACCACAAGTGTCAAGTTATAGCGTGTGCCATTCTTGAATAATGTTAATATCGCAAATTATTTTTTAAAAAGAAGGAAAAAAGAAGAAGATCAGTGATACATTGATGCAATCTCTAAGCTAAATTCGATAATTGTTGTATATAACAAAAATCCTTTTATAACAAAAATCCTTTTATAACAAAAATCGGTAAATTCATATTTTTTCATACAATACATTAAAATGATATCAAGATGTTAAACTCATAGGTTTCTTATTATAAAATGAGATAACTTTGGAGATTTTGGTTGACCATTTAGTTGTTTGTTTATCAATAATTTCATTCCACGTTATCGAATTCCATTCTATATGAATATAAAACCTCAAATTTTGAGAATGATCCCACTTCGAGATTCAGATCTTAGACGAATTCGTATCATACTTTATTTTCCGATGGTGGATTTTATTGTGAGAGTATCGCTAATTAAGATATGTGGGAACGAAATATATATTTAATAATTAGTAATAATATAATAAATACATGAGTGTACACTTTACTTTAGGTTATATTCTTTTAATTAATCAGCACATATATAATCTCCGAATTTCATGGATTCGTTGGTGCTCACACTATACAATGCACCAAATTGATTGTAAATAGATTATCCCTCGATAATCTATGAAAGCCAAAAGTTGAATGCATGCAAAATCAAAACCCTAATTAAGATACTTCTTTTCGTGAAGCGAAGAGTTCTCATTCATAAACATTGAAGCAGTACACTTCGTTTCTGCGTTAAAAAGGGACTGTAAGCTAAACTGATCATAACTATTTATATATATATATATATATATATATGTATGTATGTATGTACAGATCGGACAACAAAAGCGAAACAGCTTAATTTTTTTGCCCTAATATATATATATACACACACACACACAGACATACATATACATAATATATATATATGTGTGTGTGTGGATGTTCAATCGTGCCAACAGAGGAGCATGACCACACATCTGCTGATGATGTAAATCCTTCCCTTTTGTTCTCTGAGATACTTCCCAAGTCTTCTGCTGTATGATTTCTTCTCCTCCGAGCTTCTGATCCTCTCCATCACTTTTAGAGAGAGAGAGAGAGAGAGAGAGAGATTTTATGTGAAGTTGGGGATTTGAACACGAACTTGTGTTCTTCTTTCCACTGCTGAAGAAGTACAGGCAAACTCTTATTGGAGAGAGAGAGAGAGAGATTGGAACTGTGTTTGGGGGGGGAAGAAAGATCTGTGAGGGGGTATATATAGGGAGGATTTTGTGGTCTGCATCATAGTTTAGTATCTTTCAATTGAATTTAAAAAAAAAAAAATCTAATAGCCCTTGAAAGAATATGTAAAAAATAATTACAATCTTCGAACACGTAGCTTCATATATGGTTAGGCCACGTCACCAGCTTACAAAAAGGGATATGAATCCACCAACCAAAATACATTATTTCACCGGCTATTTTTTGTTGTGTAAATTTCTTTCTTAATTTCATGAATAGTATATCAATAATATTGAAATCTACATCCAAATCTGGACAATTCAACCAGTGAAACATGATACAAAGCGTTTGTCTCGTTTTAATAATATGAGTTTCAAGTTTGGAGAGGTAGCGTATAATCCAAACTACATATTTGACTCACGATTCCAAAATTAGTCTGAATATTTATCTAGAAAATCCGATTATCCAAAAAAAAATATCAAAGTCTGCTCTATACGTATTTAGTTGATAATACAATTTCCATTTCGTTGGACTTTACTATAGGTATATGTTTTCAATATATATCGTATACCTATGCTTACATTATTTATATATATTTTATAACGGTTTGAACTCAACCACAACCATTCATATGCGGTGATAAATCCTCCAACTCATTCTTGAAAAATGAGGAACTACCCAACCAGTTCACCTGGACCCCGAAGAACTACATTAATTATATTTTATGTATGATGATATATATTTCTTAGAGAGGGTGCAAAAGATCCTCCTGATATATACGTTACGAATATCACCCGACTAATTCATACGTTATGAATATTGGCAAAAGGTAATCTCATAACAAAAATATTTGTAAATTAATGTATATCTTGGACCGTTTTGATTTATTTGAAATTAACATATACGTTTCGATTACATTTTCACCAATCCCAACATAATTAGGACATGCGATTGATTATTGATTAAACTTCGTGATTTAAGTGATATAATTTTATTAAATAAAAAACATAATCCCACGTGTCATTTATCGTGTTCCACCATGCGGCATGCACATAAGACGTAACTTGAACCTGGCCTTGCTTCATTGTCCTCACCGCAATAATTAACCATACAACTCAACTTTGCCAATATATATATATATATATATATATATATATACTATAATTATGTCTTAATCAATTAGTAGATCCCTTAATTAATCACCTAACTCATTGTTTTAAGCCTCACTTTGTGGAAACTGTCTTTGTGGTCGCTACATCAAATCTCGTTCTCCTATGCCATGTTTTACGCTCGTAAAAATTATCAAACATTCACATCAATTTTATGGCAAATTAAACCCTCTTTTATTATTTCACCTTGCCACATCCTTAATGTCATTTGCTTTATTATGGAACATTGTAATTCAATACAATATTCAATTTAATCTTTCCCTTCATATTTTTTCATACAATACATTAAAATGATATCAAGATGTTAAACTCATAGGTTTCTTATTATAAAATGAGATAACTTTGGAGATTTTGGTTGACCATTTAGTTGTTTGTTTATCAATAATTTCATTCCACGTTATCGAATTCCATTCTATATGAATATAAAACCTCAAATTTTGAGAATGATCCCACTTCGAGATTCAGATCTTAGACGAATTCGTATCATACTTTATTTTCCGATGGTGGATTTTATTGTGAGAGTATCGCTAATTAAGATATGTGGGAACGAAATATATTTAAAGATATCACATATAAATATCTTTAACTTGTGTTGTCTCCAAAGTTCATGTTCCCTCGTTTTCCATGGAAAAATAAACAAAGTCATGAATTGAATATATAAAGATAAAGCAAGAAGGAGAAGAAGAAGAAGAAGAAGGCATGTGGAGCATACCGCACGTGAAAATCACGTGAGTGATATGGTCACTGTTTGGTATAACGCAGACAAGACAACCTTTGTTTTACTTTTGTCTCCTCACTAACTGTAACTTTGATTTTTATTTCCCCTTACGCCATATTTATTACGGGTTAGTGACAATGAACTTAAACATATTAAGCATCTTATCCCGTATCTTGGTCTTGGATTATTCGAAGATTACGTCCGTAATTTTTATTTATAAAAAATTGTACGGTTCATCGTATCAAGAATCGTTTCAGCCTTACTGACTTGGTTCACTAATCATCATTGATTAGGGAGATTAATTAGTTCATCGTTAATGAAGCATCTGATATCTTGGAAGTATAAACAATTTCATTTTGTTACTATGTGAAACCATACATTATATATATATATATGCGGATGAATACATATATGTCGGATGATTATAAGACTGAAAATATTGAAAAATGGTTTTGTAAGATTTTGTTTTCTTTTTGATGGGCCCTTCGGAATATCATTCTCTCATTTTTTTTTGTTGTCCTTTAATTTCCATCCACAAATACTTTGCTCTTTTTCCGACACCAAAGAGATATTTCTTATGCATCTAAAAAATCTACATCATTATTATCTACATATATTATTTGGGTCTTTATTGGGCTCATGAAATAAGCATATTTCGCCCATAAACCATATTTAATTGGTCCGTCATTGGACTTGTATGTAATATGTATATATAAATATAATGTAATGTAATGTAGCCGAATATCCAAATTATTAAGAAACGGAAGGAATTATATGGGCCGAAAATAATGTGTGTGTGTGAACAATTGGGCTGAAGACCATATATGATGGGCCTTCCCAAGCGAGTGAGATACGCGTAACGTTCACGCGCTACCTTGTGAAAGGTAGCGCGTGGTAGAGTTATCTTCGTTAATAGTCATATAAATAACTAGATACATGACCGTGAGTGCTGATCACCAGATCCTAATCTGATTCTCCCGTGTTTCCTCCGACCCTTCAGATGCAAGATCCATTACAGCGATAACAATGGCGGTTGTTGTTCGGTCCTCTAAGCTCAGTCTCCCCAACGCATCTCTCTCCCCTTCGTCTCCTCGAGTTTCTTCTCTTCTTTTCGAACCCATCTCCTCTTCCCTTGCCCTATCTCTGTCAGACTCCTCCATCTCTCTCTACCCTTCTCTCTTTCCTTTCTCTTCTTCTTCTCTCTCCTACCCTCAAACCCTAATCCCCGCTCCTTGCTCCTCCACCTCGTTTCTCCTCCTCCGGTCTCGAGATTCTAATCCCGGCGAAGGTTCCGGCAATAGGTCGTCGGCACGTGTCCTCTTTGTCGTTGCTGGGCCGTACCGTGGCGGGTCTCGCGTTCTTCTCCGGTTCTACGCATTGCGGGAGGAGGATAAGGGTTTTGTGAGAGCCCAGGTGGTCTGCGATCAAAAGGGTATGGAGTTTGATCGGAAAGTTGGGGTTTTGTTGAATTTGAGCCACGGGGTCTCGGTTAAAGTTACTGGTTCGGTTAATTACTTCGCAATGCATTCGGTTTCGAACTCAAAGATTCTGATTTTCGGTGTCAAGTTGATGAGTGACGGTAATGGCGATGAAGCAGTAGTGGTGAAGCTGATGAGGTGTGGTGTGGTTGAATGCTCTAGGCCGGTTTGGTCGATCGGAATTTTCTCTGGAATGTTGCTTCTGGGGGAAGATAATGGCGTTAGGGTTTTGAATTTGAGGGAGATAGTGAAAGGAAGTGTGAAGAAAGTGAAGAATAGCGGAAGATTGGAAGACAAGAGGTTGCGTGGTCATAACGTCGATCGAAGGTCGGTTTCGGGAAACGGATATTTGGATGGAAAGAAAGAGAGGCATGCTGTTCATGGTAAGTTTATTTACTATATGTTCAGAATCTGGAACACCTTATTTTTCGTTGTGGTGGTCATGATTTAGCATGTATGGTAGCTAGATTATGTTCATATTTTCTCATATCTTCTTTGGGCTGGCCTTAGAGAAATATTTCGGATTTCGGATGTTTGTAGAGGATGCTTATCGCTACGGTTTAAGAAAACATAGGGCTCAAGTGATGTCAAAGAGTAAAAAATCTGGGTTCTGGTTTGTTCGTGATCTATTTGTTCTGCAGAGATAGGTTTTGGTAGTTTCCTGTTTGTTGTTGTTTGGTAGTTTTCTTGCAAAAAGACGGTAACTTTAATTTGTAGAGAAACGTTTGTTTTGGTGGTTCCTTTCGGCATTGTCCGGTGCTATTTACTTCTTCTTGCTACTAGGTTTTCTCTCTTTTTCTTTCCTACGCCCAATACAGAAAATTTCATCTGCTATGGGGTTTTATGCCCCTGATTTTGTCTCTTTATCCGCAGCGAGCCAGAGGTTAAGTAAACACAGACAAGAATCTTCTGAAGCCAGCATGTGCTTTGTGTCTTTTCAGAAAAAGGTTGCTGACATGGATGTGAATCTGGAATCGAAATCATGCCCAGTCATGTCTGTTAAAGCTATATCCATCCAAGCATTGTCCTCTAAAAGGTTTTTGATCTTGGACTCTGCGGGATATATACATGTATTGCATGTGTCTGGTCATCCTCTGGGGTCAAACTTTGCTTGTAATATGCAGCAGTTACCTCACTTTATGGAAGTCCAGATGTTGGCTGTTCTTCCTGAGATCACTGCTGGTAAATCTGTTCTTGAAGCTAGAGTTTTGGCTTTTTCTAATGGATATGATATTGCCATGGACACCATTTGGAATGTTACCATCTAGCGTTAATGTTGAAGGGGATGAAGGATTTGGATTGGAACCACTTTAAGTAGAGAATGATAAAGGCTGTAAAACTGTATTAGGTTGACATTCTTTGATGTTTCGTGTTCCATATCTCTGTTTTCTCCTTCTTTGTTCTTCTTCGTTTTTCTTTCCTTTTTTTTGGTGATAAACAAATTCATGCTCTTCTGTGACCGCAGAAACAAAAAATATCTGGGTTTCAGACGCAGACTATTCTATGCACGTTTTAACTATTCGTGATGAGGACACTGCCATTGAAGAGAGAGATGGAGATAAAAAAGAGAAAACGCCTCTACAAGTCTCAGGTTTTCTGTATATCATGCCTGTTCAGTGTATCGTTTGGATTACATAAATGATGTCTTTTATTTTTCTTTAGTTATTCCTATTTTTCCGTTAAAATTGACTTCAAGATTCATGCTTTTCGGTCTTTCTTATATTCTGCGAATGGTAGCTAGTGTAGTGGGTCCAAGTTGATGTTTCTTTAACTAGCGTAAATCTTTCTTTCGCAGTCACGCATGCGATTTTTACTCCTGAAAAGATTCAAGATATCGTTCCTCTTGATGGAAACGGCATTCTGATACTCGGGCTAGGTAATTTGCTGGGCGGGTTTCTTCAGGAATATCTTGCACAGAAACATAGTGGCTGACTTTACGGGAATTTCAGGGATAATGTGAAGTTATGTGCTTTACCGCTTCAAATTTCCTCTCTTTTGCAGGGAGTTTATACGCATATGCGTTTTCCTGAAGCAGCAGACAAATGTTTTGCATTTCCCATGGTGAGTTTGATTTCAAACTGGCCGGATTTGCAGTTTGCCTCTGACCCATTTTATATCTCTGGTCCAGAGTTAATTCATTTCTGTATTGCATGGCAGATATCGTAACATGTTTGGAAGTGAGTTCCCCTGGAATCATGTCTGGTTGGTAAGAAAATCTGAAACATTGACTGGTACTCGTTGTCAGTCCAGTTGACACCATTTTTTCTGAGTTTTACTTTGGCGCTCTGATTCTTGCTATTTGCATTCTAGAGAGCCAAATGGTTGGATTGTCATCCCGGGGGTACTATTGGTTTTAAGCGTTTGTTCTCTACCTGATGAAATTCATGAGCTGCTACCGTCTCCTACCCAATCTGGCTCAAAGTTAAAGTTCTTCGAATTTGGTGAAGAATCTGGCCCTGGAGGTACCTTCCATAACCCTTTTTCTTCGCCCCCTCCCAAATGTGTATATATGTACACAGGATGCTTTGATATCGATAGTTTCATTTTGTCCAAGCTAGAAGCTTTTGGTATGTATACACTTATACACATACCATATGCTTTGTTTTTGCACCTTGAATTCTCTACTTTGGAAACAAGTTTACACCTTTCGACACACTTTCATTAGATCGGGTTGTCTGTAGAGTTTAAAACCGGTGCCTCTTGCTCCTCCTGTACCATCGTAGAAAAAATCGGGTTGTCGTTAGCACAAAACTCAGTTGTCTCTCTTAACAAATATGTTTGTTGTTGTGTTTTTTTTGTTGCAGACATCATAGCCTATTACCATCTGACCTGAGTATCGGTGTGTTGTGGATCGAAACCAATCCCTTGAACCAGCATGACTTCTGCGTTTTGCTTTCGAGTAGGAACCTGGCCTGTTTCAAAACTGAAAGTTCTTTGGACGTTAAGACCAATTATGTTGGATGTTAGGGTTTGAGTCTCCAGAAGGACGACTTATGTAACGACCTTTGTGTGTTGGATGCATACGTGGTTTTGGATTTGAGTATCTCATAATCATTCGCAGCATCCAAAAGTAAAATCGTGTTTTGTATCAAGAAACTGAACGAGAGGTATCATCACAAACCAAGCTAAGAAGAAAATCTTATTGAAATCACCAAAACCGAACTTGGTTCAGCATCAAACGTAGTCCAACTTCTCTGGAACACAACTGAAAAACTCTGAGATATATGATGTTTCATGCCCATGGGATGAAAAGAGAGATTCTGATTCAGGGCTATAACCAGTTCCAAGTAATAAGACTATGCTCAGCAAAAGAATCTTCATTGATGTATTTTCACATTCCATGGCTTTTGGTGGCCGGAGAGTGTGGTCAAATTGCGGCGGACTTCCATTCCACAATGGCTAGAGTGTGGCGGCCACCGCAAGCAACGACCTTGGCAACCCATTTACCGTCGTCATCCTCTGCAGCGTCATTGAACTGTCCCTCTGGTGGAGGGATCTTTACCGGAACATCCAATGGCTGTCCCGTCGTCACTTTTCTCCCACACCCAAGTCTACCATGGTCTCCCCGACCAAACTGCTCATGCAAGAAACAGTTAGAACGGTTATGTACAGAATCTTCCCTTAAACCCATTACGGTTCAAACAAGTTATGGACATTCAGAGTGGCATAAGACCAGCTAACAAGTTAGCACAGTTTTCATAAACCTTGTGATTGAAATTTCAGACAATATTCGTGTAATACTAGTTTACTTTGGAGGAATCTCTGTACTCGAAGGTCGAAAAAGACTCACAGAGAAGATACGGCCATCTCGTGTCAATGCAACCGAATGAGTGCCACCACAAGAGACCTGAAACACCGAAGAAAAGGTGAAAAACTATTAATTGTCATGGAGGTAATGAAGAGCTCAGAAGAGAAAACCGAAGAAAGAGATGATACCTGAATGATGTCTTCCCCGGCTAGAAGATTAACTTTCTGAGGTAACATCTTACTGCTCTTGTCATTGTCCCCAAACCCGAGCCTCCCATGTTCCCCTCTCCCCCAACCATACACCTATATTTGGAAGAATAAGATGATGATTACAGATTCTTTTGCAGTGTTCCAAGTGCTGGAACCGAAGATCAAGGTGAACTCAAACGAAAAACGTAGCAAGATCGAGGACGATACTTCTAGTAATCAAGTCAAAACAACACTTGAACTTGGAGAAACACTGTCAAGAAGTCCTACAATTTTTTTGGTGTCACGAAAATACAAGTTGTATCCAGATTATCTTCTTGGAGTCCTCAACTTTTCTGACCAGGTTTGGTGTTTTTATGTCACCTTTCCATCAATTTAATAGCTTTAACAAAAGTTGGGAATTTTCTCGTGAATAGAGACGCAGGAGCAAAGAGGTTCACAAAAATGGATGGAGAAAAGGGATGACTGACATAAGAATAGTTGCAAAGTAGATTAAGATCTTGTACCTCCCCTTTATCGGTTAAAGCTGTTGAGTGCCATCCTCCAGCAGCAATGTCAACCTGAGAATGTATTTTCAGATGGAGAATCGATTAGATTGTATCACATAAAAGAATCAAGAACGGCGAAATGCTGAAGTAAGACTTACCAAAGTGAGACTGTCAAGGCCTTGGACTGGAATTGGCTGGGATCTTGGTTGGGTGTCTCCCGTTCCAAGTTGTCCATATTCGTTATTGCCCCATGCCCACAATGTCCCGTTTTCTTCAAGAGCCAGATTATGAAATGCTCCAACAGCAATGAGACGCACATTTTCAAGACCCTGAACTCGTACAGGAATAGATATTTGTTTTCTGCATCGAGGGAAATGAAATCAAACCCGCATTAGAAAGCGGTCTTACGTTACTCTGTGTTCTAACTTTATCCACATAGATAAATTGAAGGTAATGTTCTATACATGTCACCAGGAGGCCATGGCTGACCCCAACTCCACACATGTCCTTCACGAGTGAGAACCACAGAATGGGTACCCCCTGCAGCTACCTGTTATTCAATCCGTAGAAGAAACACATTCAAATATCAAACCATATTATAACATATTACAAAAAACAGAGTCAAAACACATATAAATGCAGGCAAAATGGTTACAATAATGATTATGGCTAGATCCAGTAAAACTATATAGGGAATTAGACATATAAAAACAGTGAAGACGGGTGAAGAGGCAGAACCTGTCGGACTACTAGTTTTGGGGCACAACGTTTGGGGATGACAATATCTCTCCGCAAAGGCCTTTCCATTTCATCTTTGCCAGGCTCTTCGCCGCATTGTCCGTATTCATTACCACCTGTGTTGTGCAGAACAAGAGGTACACAAACAATTTTCGCATTTTAAACAGAACCTAAACAAAACTTTTTTTCCATATATTTTCCGGGTATCATTTTGTTTTTTTGCTGCCTTTCTTACATGTTTCAACAAGAGAAAGAACAGAACATTGCTACAAAAAAAAACCATACCCCAGGCATAAGCTCGGCCTTGATCATCAACAGCCAAACAGTGCCAACCACCAATAGCCGCCTATGATCCATCATGGTAAACACATTCAAAGTAAGCCATCAGTTCCCTACCCTTAATCCAAAACGACAAAAAACATACTTTGGAAAAAAAACTAAAATCAAAACATTGGAGAAAAATGACCTGAACGATCTTGACATTGGCAAGAGCCTTAACTTGACTTGGGATGTTCTCCGTCTTGGTCTCTGGCGGGTGTCCTAATGTACCCCTTTGATTCCAACCCCATGTAAACAGCTGAGAGCCATTTCAAGAGATCCAAAAGTGAGTTCCTTTACGCATTTATCGATTTCAGATAGGAACCAATCGTATCTTTCGCCAAATCCCACAAAGGTTAATAACTAGAGAAGCTCCGTCTACATAAAATCCAGACGCTATTTGCAATGAAACAAGCCAAAATCCGGTGACCTGTGGACAGCTAGAGGAAATCACTGGAGGCAAAACCGGACATAAAACCACCAGTGTCTCGCGCCAAACATCTATAACTCACACAACTGAAACCCATCTCCGAAAAAAGCATAAAAAACACGAATCGAAGGACTTCCATATATCTCAAGTTCACCCAGCCAAGACGATATAAGCTACAGTGATGTAAACAGGAACAATGCCCAGAAAAGAAAACCGAGAGAAGAGATGATTAGAAGTGAATCTTGACACCATACCGTGCCATCGTCGCAAATGGCGAGCGAATTGCGACTACCGGAGACGACCGAGCGAACAGCGTAAGGCTCGAGGGCCTCAACTACGCAAACCCATTCCTTCTCGTCGTTGGTCCCAAGTCCTAACTGCCCATCTTCGCCAGAGCCCCTGAAACGAAGGCTCAGTTTAACTGTGAACAAAAAATCGGAACTTGAAGAAAGAGATAGCTCGAGAGAAGGAGTACGGACCAGGCTATAACAGTAGTAGAAGCAGCCATTGGAGAGAGAGAGAGAGAGAGAGAGAGAGGGGCGCGTGTGAAGAAGACAGCGAAAAGCAAGGGAAAGGAATTTGGGAGGGCTTATTAGTAATGATGACCTGCTTTGTGTGAAATATGTAAAAAAAACAAGGGTTCAATGTTATAATAATATTTGCGTATATTCTATTCCAAGGTATTTCCAATTTTGTACTAAATCTTTTTTTTCATCGAATTTTAAATACGCCCTGTTTTATTTTCATCCTTTTTTGTATTCATAAATAGTTATATTATTGGGCAAAAAGTAATTGTGTGATAAGTTATCTTATAATGATTGAAATAAAAAAAAAACGTACAGAAAAAAGTTGGTATCCTTCACGCGCCTCATTAACCAAAAACCTCGAAATCCGCTGTTTCCGCTGGACTATAGTCCGGGCAAATGACGCGCGTGTCGATAACGCGCGTATCGTGCGCGTAGGATATAAGATATCCGTTTCTCATGATTTCTCGACCGAGGCATATGGACCCGAAAACTAATTTTAAACCCGTTAAGCTTTTAAGCCCATATAATTTTAAGCCTTTAGATTTTTAGATTCGAATACGATAATTTTTCTTATGGACGTTTAGTCCATTAATACCATATTAATTAATACCTTGTTTTAATTTTTTAAATCCATCAAATCTCAAACAATAATTAATACCATATTCTACAGAAAAATAAAAATAGAAATAAAAATATTGGAAAGAAATCAAGAAATGGAAAAAGAGAAAAAAGTAAAGTAAATTTTTTTTTAAAAAAAAATGACCAAATTTTATTCTACAAATTCACTTTCAGAGAACAAAACTAAAACTACATAATCCGGGTAAAAGATAATCTGTACTTGAAAACGTCGTTATACTAATATTATTATATAATAGGATGTAGAGACAGATATGCTTGTCCAACTCAGACACCATCACATTTATATATATATATATATATATATATATATGTATATGGAAAACATGACTCTGATACGAAACAATGATATGCGGAGGAGGACCCCACCAACCAACCAAACCAACACAGAGAAAAAGGGAAAATAGAAGATGGAGAGAGAAGGGGGGGGGGGGGGG